ATTCAAGTTGTCATTTCCTCTTATTAATGGAATTTTAATTGATATTTTGATCACCTGAATATATTTCTCAATTACTTCTACTACGTTAATCTTCCACAAATAGATTTCTCGATGAGTGATAAAATTTCTACATTGTTCTAGAAAACAACCAACTCAAGTATCTTCAGCAATATTGTTCACTAACTGTGCTCAGTTTTTTTTTTACATTTCAAAAAGTCCTGGCTAAGAGGTAGTTAAATCTCTCACACTAAAGAGTACTTTAAAAGCCATTCTGCAACTTAGCTAGGAATTTTGATGATTTGGAAAGTCTTCAATTTTATACCAACTTTTCTTTTTAATAAAGCCCAGAATTGATTCTTTCATTTCAATATTTGGCCTGAACTTCCCCCTTTTTAATTACATTCTTTTTCACTTTATGTTGATAGCATCCAAAACCAGTGCAATTCTCTTATTGTTCTCCATTGATTCTTAAGTTCTTTTTAGTTTAGATAGAAAGTATTTGTAGACCAAATTTTGTGTAGTTTACATTGGCTCTAAGTTACATGCTGAGAGAATAATAATTATAATAACAATATAGTTATAATAATGGTAGCTACTATTTCTTGAATTCCTATTGTGTTATGCAAGGTTCTCGACTCATAAAACATCTCATATAATCCTTACAGCAACACTGTAAACAGTATTGTACTCATTTGACAAGTGAGGAAACCGAGTCTTAAGGAATTTATGTTATTTGTACAAGTTGAATTTATGTGTAAGAGGAGGTGCTAGGATTTAATTTGAAGTCTCATGCAAACAACATCTGGTGAGCTTAACTATTGCATTCTAAAGATCAGTTTCTATAGAGGATTTTGTGACAAAATAAACAACAATCTTAAATCTATAACTAGAAGAGTCTTCTGATTTCTTTTAGTCCAATACTCTATACTGTCTTTTAAAAATGTCATGATTTGAAATAACTTTTGTATGTTTTGGTATTCATTTTAAAGGTATTTCTTTCTACCATAGGAAATATACGTGTACATAGATGTGTGAGTATGTGTACATATACACATATGTATATCTCCATGCTCATCTATTTCAGTAATGTGGCTTTATTATTAAAAATTATTATAAAAATTCAAGTTTGGTCAACTGGGAAATTGCTTGTTAAAGCTACACTGAAAAAAGTGGCTTGGCATTCATTATTTTAAACTAAAATCACCATTGTTGGCAGTCACTTTCTAACACCTAAAGGTGTGAATTATGTAAGCGCACAAAACAAGTCAACTAGTTTAGTTAATTTGGTAGTTACATCTTCCTGCCAGGTACACAGAAAAGCTATGCTCTGTGGGGTGAGATTATCCATAGGAGCCTTTACTGTGTTCTAAAACACTGGTGGGATGTTGCTACACCTGCTTTGAACATTTTCCAGGCCTAAGTGTTTGGTATAGGACTACAGAGCCTCAAAGAAATTTGTTCATGTATGGGAGGACAGCCACAGCTGATTCCTCAGGTAAATTCTACTTCATCAGCAGGTTTAGGTGGCCCATCTCCAGAGTTGATGTAACCTTCCATTCGGGTTGGCCCAGCAGCTACAGCAACAAACATTTACTGAGCATATTCCTTGGCAGACATTGTAGGGGGGTGCTGGTTGAGCTCCTTGAATGCCAACCCCACCATCTGCTCTCCTGATTACATGCTAGAAGAATCCTTAAGCAGCCAGAATAAGACAGCTCCAGCCTCTTGGTTTTTATCAGAGTCAAGCACCAGTGGTTTGTTCTTCACTTCTCATCAAGGGCCCAGTTGAGAGAAGTGATAGTTAAGGGAGATCACTTTTATTCACCCCTCTCACTACTCTAGGTGTCTGACATTCTGCTGTCAAATCACATCAGCTTAGTTTCTTGTAGATTTACCTTCATAAAAGTGCATTTTAATTTATGTGCTTGTTTATTTATCCTTTTAAAATCAGCAGTCACTCTCAGAAACAGTTATTTGGAATTTAATGCTGTTTTATTACAAAAAGACTGAAAACATTAATACAGGAAATACTGAGTGTCTTCAGTGCACCACCAAAGTTCTGGGTCCATGAAGAAATTGTGGTTCCTGTAATGTGGCCCAGCAAAGCCCTGGGTCTTGCTGTGTAGCGGAGCAAAGTGTGGTTTGATAGCACAGAGGAGGAAGCAACTAATTATTGACCAGGAAAGTCAAAGAAGAATTACTGAGAAGGAAATATTTTAATTGAGTTTGGAAGGAGGTGTAGTTTCCTGAGAGTGTATGAGCGGGTTAGAAGAAACTCTGGCCAAAAAACAGAACATGAGCAAAGTATATTATCTCATAGAAGGACTTGGTGTGTCCAGCAGAATAGAGGGGATTCAGAGTATCAGCAGGATAAAGGCTGGAAAAGTTGGTGCAACGTGATAGTGAAGGCATTTGTAGACAATGCTAAGGAGTTTGGGTTTCACCCCAGTCACTAGGAGATACTCTAGCAAGCAGTGTAGGGTATAGAATAAAACAGAGACAGAGAAATAAATGGCTGGGAGGCAATAAGTGGAAGGAAAAAGAGTCTGGTTTAAATCAGTAGATGAGATGAAATCTTGTACTGCTTTTTTCAAGAGCCATTTCTGTGATGACATCATTTGGTGAATATTTTCTTTCTTTTTTTTCCATTTTAATAGTACAATTTTTTTAAGAAAAAGGGAAAGTGAAAAAAAGAGACACCTGTGCAGTTACAGGCAGGCAGAGAGAAGAGCTGCTAGAGAATGTTTTCTTATGGTTAATGAAAAAGCAAGGACATTAATTATTATATCCTCCAGTTCATCAAAAATCTTATGTAAGGTGTTGCATTGTTAGACTACTATACAGAATAAAACCGTTTCAATTGGAGAAGGCTCAGAATCAAATTTAAGACTCACTCATGGCTACCATTTGAGATTAATTTAGGAGAATTCTCATGTACTGAATTCCTATTCAAAGAGTATGGCAATGGGTAGAGGGGTTCACATATCCTTCCAAATTAATGTTTTTGCATTATTCAAATAGATGAGTAGGAATGAAATTGCTAGACAATATGGCAGGTCTACTTTTAATATTTTGATAAAACTTCATAGTGGCTGGGCCAGTCTACATTCTCACTAACAATGTATGAGTGTTTTTTTCACCACACTTTTACCAATACTTGTTTCTGGTCTTTATGATATAGACCATTCTTAAAGTGTGAGGTGGTATCCTACTATGGTTATGATTTGCATTTCCCTGATGATAAGCTTTTTTTCATGTGCCTGTTGCCTATCTGTCCATCTTCTTTGAGAAATGACTATTTAAATCACCTGCCCATTTTTAATGGAGTCATTATGATGCTGTTGATTTGTATGAGCTCTTTGTAGATCTTGTATATTAGTCCCTTGTCAGTATATGATGCCAATTATAGAAACAACGTAAGTGTCCAATGACAGATGAGTGGATTAAGAAAATGTGGCATATATCACAATGGAATTCTAATCAACAATAAATAGAGATGAAACTTTGCCATTTCAGACAACATGGATGGAACTGGAGGGGACTGTGTTAAGCAAAACAAGTCAGAAGGATAAAGATAAATATTAGTTACATATATTCTCTCCAGTGTTATGTGTTCATTCATGGTATTTTTCAATATACCAAGTAGACATTTTTGATATCAACTAAGATGGCATGAGTTATATAAGATAAACTGAAGTAAAATGAAGCCGAGAATGAAAGACTCCTATGGCTCACTACAGGAATTGTCCTATTTGAAAAACATCGTAGTCTTCTAGGGTCAGATGAAGTGTCACCAATCTCTGAAAGTTCTCTACCCCCAATAAGCCAACCTCTCCCTTCCTCACCCTCCCTCAAGTCCTGATTGTGATTTTTTTTAAACACTCATTTCTTTCTCTTTTCGCTTTAAAATTCTTTTTTTTTTTTTTAAAGTACCATTGGTTTACATCTTAGTGTTCTGCACATGGAGGATTTCCCAGTCTACATTGTGGGTGACTTTGCTATGTTTTTACGTAGATAACATTCTAATTGTCTTAAGAAATGGAATCTTTTTATTTTTTTTTAAATGAATATTTATGTTTTCCATCCTATTCCCCACAAATAGGAATCCCCAAAGTATTGTGGGATGAGCTTTTCTCTTGTCTTTTTGGTCACCCAAACATTGATTCAGCTACTATTCTGTACCAGTGACTGTTCTGTGCTGGGGACATGATAAGTGAGGCAGATGTGTTCTCTGCCTTTGATTGGAAGTAATAACTCTTAAGTTTTTCTTCCTCCTGGGAGCAGAGTGGCAGAATGTAAGGCAAGTCTGGAAAGGAGGAAAGTGCATGCCTGGTCCTGTTCTCATTTTCACAGTAAAGTTTTAGAAGTTAAAAATTTCCTGTGGTCAAATTTCCACTGTACTTCCTCTCTGGGTGACCTTGGAATTGCTATTTAATGTTGCTGAGACTCAGTGTCTGCTATTAATAGATAGTGTTTCATCAAATTAGATATGATATTAGGTGCCTAGCTCACCATGTGTGCTAAAGTAGTTTGGTGACTGTTATTTTTAATCCTGTTAATAGCTGCTGTGTGACTTTACATGTGTGACTTTAAGGAGACCTATGTCCAGGATGCCTTGGGAAGGGACAGTAGCCATACAGAGAATTTGCTCTATGGCTTCCTATCTTAGATGGTAAAATTGGCTTCAGGCTTCCTGAACAACTCTAAAGCCTGTGCTGGAAACTTCCCTGTCTGGATTTAAACTGACAGCTGTGGGTTTCCCGGTGTTCACTTCCCACTGGCCGCCTACCTCATGCCTGTAGGGAGCCTTACTGAACAGAAAGAACAAGCAGGAAAGAGACATTTCTTCTCTTCTTTAACCTCTTGGTAGTAGGTTTATTTAGATCTGAAGGGAAGAATCAGTTCAGTATTTTGTGGGTTAAACTTTCCTGGTTAGAATTTTGTTTTCTCAAATACTAATAAAATGGATTTTCTTTTCCCCTACCCTCTCTTGTTAATAGGGTGCTGAGAAAATTTTGTCAATGAATGAATCAGGAGAACTGCAAGACCTTTTAACCAAAATTGAGGTAATTGTGACTTTAGCAACTTTCTTTTTGTAATCAAAATGTTAAACACATTCTGGTTGTAATTGAATTCTCCTAATTGCATTTTTCTCCCATGTTCTTACAAATATGTAACAGAATTCATGTAGCAGTTTTAATTTGATATCACCTGTCATTAGCTTTGCTCCAGCTAGAGTGAGTTCAGCATTAGCTTCTAATAACCTCATACTGTTAGGTGAGAAATTCAGCCAGCTTTATTAGAGCCTAATTCTCTGCAGCAGGGATGTGGTGGAAATGTTTCAAGTCAAGCAATTTTCTTGAAGCACATTTAAAATTCTTTATTTAAATTTTTTGGTTTTCCCATAGACTAGCTCATTATTTCTAAAGATGACAGAGAAAAGTTAATTCTGAAAGTGCACATTTTAATGTTGCTCCTATACTTAAATAATGATGCAAAAATAGTTATTCAAATATATAATGTATATAATTAATATGCAACTACAAAGTCCTTAATACCTCTCTGCTAAAGTAGTTAGTGAATATGTTTCTCTCTATATACGTAGAAAAATCATATTTTATCACCCAAGCTGGAACACTTTGAGGGTGAAGAGGGTGTATTAATAATTATTCTGGGAGAGCAGATATGAACCAGCTCTTCCCTAGGTGGACCAGGCAACATATACTTAGTATCTGTGTGCCGTGGCCAGCTCTTATTTAGTTTCCTTAGCTGACTTCATTTCTGATTTTCTAGCATTCCTTCTACTTCAGATAAAAGAAAGAACTCTTTGGGGTGTCATTTTTTTTGGTGATTTCTTACTACGCTTTCTTTGAGGTAGCTGTCCCATCTATCTAGAATGCCCTTATTCCAAGTCTCATTTCCCTCTGCCATCTCAAAAGCCTATGTGTAGCTCTGCTTCTAAATCATTCCTGATCCAGCCCACAGTTGAGTTCCTGCAATCCTCTTTATGTTCACGTGATGACTCTTCTTCTGGGCATTTGATTCATGTCTTAAATGAACTATGATTCTTGGTTTTAGGAATCATGTTTTGTTCATATTGCTTAGAAAGACCAGCACAATGAGGGGGTGTACTTGGGGGTCAAAATCTTTTCTCAGATCAAAAATCTGTGGAGTGGTTTCTTTCCTTTTGTCTGTCTATCCCACTCCAACATGATAAAACTATTAATTAATTTTGATTAAAGTGCAGCTTTTTATATAGATGGTTTAACTTGGTTAATGTAAATGAATTATTTCCTATGTACATTTTCAATTTACATAAATGATGTTATGTAATGCATCTAATTTTTTTTTCCAAATGTTTTCGCTAGGCACTATGTTCTCGAGAACTCTCTGTGTTGCTAAGGGAACTTTCAATCCATTTTTTCTAAATGCTTCACATTTTTCCATGTCTCACAGAATTTATGCTAATGTTGGAAGAGTCTTATATCTGTACTATTCCATAGCAGTTACTGGCCACTAACATAGTAGTTAGTGGCTATTCAATACTTAAATTGTGACTACTGAGGCTGAGGAACTGAATTTATAATTTCATTTAATTTTACCTTATTTAAATTTAAATTCAAATAGCCATATATATCTGGTGGCACTTGCTTCGAGCAGCACAGCTGCATGATACCCACCCACTATTTTATTTTTAACCTACCTACTTTTCCACTGATGAACACCCAGATGTCCCCAGCTCCTTTCTCAAGCAAACTGTTGAAAGGAACAATCTTGAAGATGTTCCCTTATGGAATTCTCTGGAAGTAGAAACTTCTGGATCATAACTTATACTTATACTTAATTTAATTGGTAATGTCAGGTGGGTCTCTGAAATGGTTATACCAATTCAATACTACTTCCTCTGTAAAGGGGTTTTATAAGTTCCCAAATTTCCAACAGCTTTCAATTCTCTAATTTAAGGTCTGAAATTTCATTTTGCCAGAGTAGTAGGTGTGGATGTGTATTGCCTTCTTTTTTCTTTTTTTCTTATTTTTTAAAAGATTTATTTATTTATGCATGCAAGAGCTGGGGCGCAGGCCAGAGACGTGGAGGGGGGTTAAAGAATTCACTAGAGACAGAGTGGGGAAAAGAACGGGCAGACTGAAATACACTGCTGAGGGGAGCAGCAAGCAAGACAGGAGAGGTCTGCTGCACCACGTGTGTAACTCCCTGCCAGGCCGGGCATGGAACTTGTGCTTCAGAGGCTGTGGATAGCTTCATAGTGATAGTTGGGTGAAAAGGATAAATAAATACAACATTTTGGTTAAAAATTACTTATTTATATTAATAAGCAGGCTTGTGAAGTAAGCAAGGAGATATATAAGGACTTAGAACAATAACTCAGATGGATAGCTGATCATATTGCTGTCCACAATGAGAAAGCAAGGGGAGACTGGGATGTATTGACAAACATTTTGTTATGGCGGGCACTGGATTAAGATCTTAGATATAGAAGAGGCTCTAAGTAAACTTCTGCCCTGCAATCTTTTATAAAGATGTGAGCATTTTGCTACCATTTCTAGTGTGATTGCTTACATAGTGTTCATTTTCTGCACTTTTCTTATAAAGCCAGAGTCTCCTGAGGGCTGGTTACGACTTCTTTGTTTTCCACAAGGAACAGAGGAAAGATTCCCAGCAATACACTGAGAATGTTGGAAATGGCACAGACTGACCAAGGCATTTGAGCTGTTAATAACTGTCTGGAGAAAGACATTTCTGGATAATGGCACCTCCCAGTGGAGTGGGCAAGGCATATTTAGAGATTACAGCAGAGAACACCATCCATTTACCCAGTGCTTTGCTTCTCTCTGAAATCTAAACAACTGTTTCAGTAGATGTATCCCATTAGGTTCAAGAAAGACACTCATACATTCAAGGTCATACCTTCAGGACTACAAATTTCCTTTGTGTACATTTTGCTCAGTGTCTTATTTCTCAACTGTGAAAATTGAGCATGTTAGAAATTCTATTATCAGAAAATATTATTTTCTTAGCACCTTTGCTATGCAAAGAGGTATTCAGTAGGCACTTAACAAGTACTTGGTGAACGAAATTGTTGAATATAATTGAAACAAAATACGTAGTCCAGAGATGCCAAGCGTGTAGTCTTTGATAATTTATTATGCAGGCAAACCTGCTACATAGATTCATCTGGATAGGGAGGTTTATGGTCATAGAGACTCAGATTAAGTTGCTTCTTGTTTCATAGAGTACTTCAGAGACTTTCAAGTTCTTGTGAAGGAAGGCTAGATGATCTGAGATTAAAAATAAGAAGTATTTTCATTTCTAGATTTTAAAGAAGACAAAAGACTCAATCTTAGCATCCTGTTTCTGTATTTGATGACAACAAAAAAACATATTTCTGAAAATTAAGTTTGTGCTATAAAGGAAATCTAGTTAAAAATCATTCATGAACTACACCCTTGTATCCTTGGTCCTATCTTAGAGATATGGAAGTTCTTGTGTGCTTCAAATCAGAGGACTGCAGTGTGGAATAGACCTATTCAGAGACATGAAGGTAAGGCTGAGAGGTTCTCTCAGAAGAACAGGGAAATATCTGGTTCACTGCTATATTCCCAGTGCCTTGCACAGTGCCTTGCAAGTAGACAGACAATAGATATTTGTGGAATCAATGAGTCAGTGAAAAGATCTCACCCGCTCAGTATTTTTCAAAATTCCCACACATTATGTGACAGAAGAAAATAGAAAAGAGGATGAATTCTCATTCCTTTTTTTTTTTTTTTCCTGAAATTCCATCACCAAGGGATGTTATTCTCCCAAGTTGCTATTTAGAGGAGGAACATTTCCATAGATTCTGTGGTCTGACTGTGCTATTCCTGACCAACTCTGCATGCACTGAAAGAGCTACCTTAGATTTCCTAACTGCTTTGAAGGTCAAAGTTTTGGTAGCCAATCTCTTCATTGAAAGTAGAAGCCTGCTTTGTTACCAATCATCATCATTATTATTAACTTCAATGATTGTTCCTTCCTCTAACCTGGAACATTGTCCAAACTTTGGTGAATTTTCTATCTTTTCCAACTTATCTTGAGAATAAAACTGTAATGAGGTCTTGGACTGCTAATACACAGGGGCATCTAATATAAGTCAGCACTTTTTCTTAGTTAAAAAAAAAGTCCTCTTTTGAAGGAAGTGCTAGGAATGACTGAATTATTTATTTTTATTGGAAGAACAAGATGAAGCGCATTTTACTGCATGGCCTTAAAGGAATGGGTTTCTGGAGGCTAATGTGGCACTGGGGAGAACATTAGTGGGTGGCCTCACGACCCCGTCCTTGGGCCTCCCCTGGTGGTGCAGGCAGTTGAGTGCCGCACTGTGAAGCTGTCCGCAGCCTCTGCAGTGCCAGTTTGATCCCTGGCCAGCCAGCAAGGGTCCCACATGGCGTGGCAGACCTCTCCTGTCTCGCCCGCTGCTTCCCTCAGCAGTGTATTTCACCAGTCTGCCTGTTCTGTTCCCCGCTCTGTCTCTGGTGAATCCTCTCACCCTCCTGCACATCTGGTCTGTATCCCGGTTCTTGTATAAATAAATAAATCTTAAAAAAAAAAGACCCAGTCCTAACTTCAATCCCATTTCTGCTTTAGCCACAACATTTATCTTTGTGAATGTTTTATATTTGGAGATCCTATGTAATATATTATTTGGGGGAAATGTATGTAAGTAAAAGCCACAAACTACTATTTGTTTATTTTTGCTTTTGTTTCCCTTGACTTTGGAGTTGAGACCCAAAGACATTACTGAATTCAGTGCTTTAGGGTGTTTTGCTTATGCTTTTTTCTATGTATTTTATGGTTTCTGGCCTTTCATCAAAGTTCTTGACCCATTTTGAATGAATTTTTGTATATGGTGTGAGATAATGATCTAATTTCATTCTTTTTCATGTGGCTGTCCACTTTTTCAAACACCACTGGTTGAATAGAATTTATTTCTCATTGTATTTTCTTGGTTCCTTTGTCATAAATTAACTGTCCATATAAGTATTGGTTTATTTTTGGGCTGTTAATTCTATTCTGTTGATTTGTATGTATCCATTTTTATTCTACTACCACATTCTAATTACTTTTGCTTTGTATTATAGATTGAATTCTGGGAGCATAAAACCTCAATTCTTCTTCATTTCTATCAAAATAGCCTTAGCTATTTAAGATCTGTGATTCCACACAAAGTTCAGTGATGTTTGCTCTATTTCACTGAAGAAAGGGATTGCATTAAATCTATATATTGTTTGGTTAAAATTGTCATCTAATATTATTAAATCTTTCAGTCTACAGGCATAGAAAATTTCTCTATTTCTTTTGTAGTTAAAATTCTTTTAAGTACGGATGTATTAATGAAGCGATAATTAATAATGACTACCTCTACTGAGTTTAGAATATGTGCCAGGCAATGTTTTAGTCACTTTACATGAATTAGCTCATTGATGGCTCACAACAACCCTTTGAGTAAAAGTCAGCCTTCATCATAGTTTTGCATAGATTCTGAAGATATTATTTTAGGATAGCTTTGTTCTAGTTGAGATTCCTTTTAAAGTGACATTGTTTCTCTTATTATTTATGTATTAATTTTGTTTTAGGAAATTTATGTGTCCTGACCTATGGGTAAATTATTAAGAGATAGTAGCTGCATCAAATAGATTGAAAGTAATCTTTAAGTCTTGTTACACACCCAAAATATAAAATAATTTTTAATTTTGTTGAATTGCCATTTTGGATTCTCAATTCTAAGAGCTTGGTGTCTGGAGTTAACGTAGTGAATGAACCAAAGAAGCTCCCTAGCTCTTATTGCCATTCCAGCCTTATTGACTTGTCAGTGTAAATATATTTTATGGGAATACCATATGCTATTCAAGAATTTGGTCATTCACAAATGTGTTAGGGCATAGCAGGAATTGACAATTAGTGACTGTGTACTGATGTAACTACAGGTTATTGAGAATATTGAAATATGTTTGTATTGACTGGTAAAGAATTGGAATAACATACGCTTGTTGGTAAATTGCTGCTGCCCTCAGATGCCCAAATATCTCTCCTTTCCCCCATCAACAGCTTCTGATAAAGGGTTGCCAGATAAAATATAGGATGCCCACTTACATTTAAACCTCAGATAAATTATGAATAATTTTTTAGTTTAATTATGCCTCATGAGATATTTGCCACATTCTTATACAAAAAATTATTTTTGATCTCTCTGAAATTCAAATTTAACTGGACATCCCGTATTTTTATTTGCAAAATTTGACAATCCTATTCTACTTGGAACACAGACCTACTCACAGTCCAACACTAATTTCTGAAGTCCTAGGCTCAGAGCTCCTACGAGTCCTCTCTCCAGGGACTAGGTCAGACCAGCATCTCTTCTAAGTGGATGGTGCATTACAAGTCATTAAATATTTTAATGCAATCTCTGCATAGCTCACATAAATGCCAAGGTCCTACCGACCATATCATAGTCTTTCTAAAGTTTGATAACAACATTATTTAATAACTTTTAGATTTTGCTTTTTAACAATACTTTTTTTCCACCTTACATTTGGTTTTACAGTTTCTTTTTCTTTTTCTTTTTCCTAATGACATTTTGGCATTTTGCACAATAAGTTCAGTATACTATGCTTTGGTCAATTCTTATACACATGACAAAAATCCACCTACAAAGTAACTAAATTGCTACATATACCCAATCTAATTTTTGGATTAGATTTGAATCTCTACAGTTTCAGCAAAATTCTTTATAGCTTTTTTTTTGGCAACTACTGCCTTCCATTGAAATGATGTATGTCACCAAAAATGAGACAATAATTAAATTTTACCATCTTGCTGTAACACAAACTGTAATTATGAGTGAGTCTTGTATATACAGAAAATAAGTATCTGAAAAGTGATCTGGAAATATATAAATTAAAAAAATCATATCCTTAATGTTTTTTTGGTAAAACACACTCCAATTAGTACCTTATAAGATACTAATTATAAGAGAATTATAATTTTTTCCTTGGGAAAGTGTTCTCATAGGTGTATGTGTTGGGGAAATTGTGGGCTAACTCCACTTAATCAGGTGAGATTTTAATTGAATTTTTGGGAGACTTTAATACGTGCAATTGGAAATCTCCACAGACAAACTCTGTGTGTGTGTGTATGTTAAATATTTTTGGATGAGTATGTTTCTCTGTGTGTGTATCCCCATATCCCAATCTTATTTTAGCAATTGTTCACTTTGCAAAGCTGGACTTTGGAACTATCTGCAAACTTCTATTTCTCAGAGCTTCGGTATTAACTCTCTTTTGTTTTTGTATTCATTTCCTAATGGCTCCTAATCTCTCCCTTCTCCCTAGCTGACAGAAGTCACTAGTGGATTCCAACAAAGGTTACATGTCTCCTGAAGCAAATAGAAATACGTAGGAATACTTTTCAGAAGTATTATACACAAGACAAGTCATAGTTATTTCTGTTCTACTATTAAGGAACTTGATCTTTACTTGAGATAGAAGGACTGATCACTACTATGGGAAGTTTTAGAGATTTAGGGAAATGTCTTAAGATTTCTATGCATTGTTTCCTTAAATATAAAATGAGGATAATGATGCTTGAATTATCTGCTTTAGAGGAGAAGCTGCTGTTTGTGTGAAGGGTGGGGCGATACTATAATGCATTTAAAAGTGCTTTTAAAAAGACAAAGCATATTCAAATGTGCGGTATACAATGGATCTTCAGTTGGTAATGGCTCCTCCACACTTCAGCTTTTACTTTTCTGATTTCCAGACTCCTTGCTAGTGATACTATTCTATAAAAAAGTATAAAAGTGTAAAAAGATCCTAAAGGGAAAGATAACTTCTTTTCTTATGAAACAAATAACCTTGTCCTGATTTGTTTGGTTTGAAAATATGTTCTTATATGATGGATTTCTTGACATACACGCCCTTTAATCTAAGATGTACCAGCTTTTAGAAAGTGGAGCAATGAAGCAAATGTCTGCTAACTTCTCACCTGGCTCTAAAATATATTAATGGTTTATTAAAGTAGGTTGATGCTATCAAGTCCAAATCCACATTATGCCAATAATGTGTTGTGACCACCTACAGTACAGAAAGATAAGAAGGCTGATTGAGTTGTCCATGTGTCACAATTTTCTCTTTTCTTGTTCCCTTGTCCCCTATGCAGAGAGTGCAGCATCCGCACGAGTGCCCCTCCTGTGGAGGTTTTGGCTTTCTTCCATGCTCTGTGTGCCATGGGAGCAAGATGTCAGTGTTTCGAAACTGCTTTACAGACTCTTTCAAAGCCCTGAAGTGTACAGCTTGCAATGAGAATGGTCTTCAACGCTGCAAAAGCTGTACTGGTTAGGTGGGGACCCACCACTGCAAAGCCTCATTTTATTAAGGGAAGGCAATAATTTGGTTTATACCTTTTTTAAAAAAATGGACATGTTAATGAATGAATAAACTTTATTAATTATAATAACCTTTTTGGCCATTTTTGTCCCGAACTTTTTCATTGATTTATTAAATGTTTATTTAACAATTACTATGTGCCAAGATCAGTGCTAGACCCTAGTTTCTAACTGGAATTAATGGAGGACCCAGTGCCATTTTAATATATCCAAAATTTCATTCCTTAAATGTGTTCTAAAGAAAAGACAAAATTATAGCTCATGGAGTTTATTGCAATGTCATCCTATTGTCTAGAATGAGTCAATCCAGTTTTCCAGATATACAACACTTTTGTATATGTACCTTAGCTGCAGGGAAGAGAACTCTGGCTAGTGGAAAGAATAGGATAATTTCTATACTTTAGCAGAGGAATTTTCGTTTAAGTTATAAAATACTCTTGGAGTTGATGATATTAATGATGTCATTTTATTACCACATGAATTTCTTGATGATAGTACAGAAACTGCCAGAAGACATATTGCATTTATATTTTTTAACATTTGCTTTGTGCTTATGCCATTGAAAACCCTCCCCTGGAGGTGGACATGAACACAACATAACAAACACATAGTAGGCAGTGTTAACTAAGTGGTCAAAAATTTTTCCCACAATTATTGGCCAAAGCCAACTTGTACTTATGTCTGTATTCTGATGTATGCACTTACAGTGATAAGGTAGTCAAAAATAGTTTATGTCTTAGCCTTGTAAAAGTTTATGAATACTTGCTGATGCTCTTTAATCAGTCAGTCATGATGTAAGGCATGATTTCTGCCTTCAAGGAGATTACACATTGAGAAGTAAGAAAATATTAAATAAATAACAATAAGTAAGATAAGTCTTAAAAATACTACACAAATGGCAGTGTGCTATGGGAATGTATAGCAGGAGAGCCAGCCTAGTGGGATAGAAATTGATGAGAAAAGCCATTGTTGAGCAATTGATATTTCAACAGATAAAAAGGGTCATTGGAAATTGAAAAGTCAAAGATGAAAAGGATAGTGTTTTGGATATAGAAATAGCATATGTGGAGACTCTGAGCAAGAGTAGAGTTGTGTGTTTGAAGAACTGTAAGAAATCCAGTATGGCGAATTACAGTCTGGTAGTAGCAGAACAGTTTATTGAAGACTAAACCTCCTGCTAATAACATATTTACTTTGAACAAAATAATGAAAAATAAATAACTATTGTATATATTGGAAAGTAGCTAAAAGCAGAAAAGAAGAAGAAGGAGAAGAAAACGAACTCTACATTTACCCAGATTATTCTCTGTGATCACTTTCCAATTTGCACAGAGGATATACAAGAAAGTGTGTATTACTCAACCGAAGAGAAGAATATTGGAGGGGACTTCCAGAGTTTCCAGAATTGAATGGAAAATCTTAAGAAATGAGGATAAAAGAGAAGAGTCCCACAATTTGCTCATAAATTCCACTCAAATCTTTGGCTGACTCCTAACTTACTCACACAGAGTGAAAGAACAGACTTGGAGGTCAAAGAGTTGAGCACAGATTTCAGCAGTTTCTTATGCTGTAAAGTCAGAATTTGGAGTTCAAATGATAAAAACAATAAAATTTCTTTGAAACCTCAGAAAGGCCTCATCCTTAGCTGAAGACCAAAGAATAAGGTCTATAGTGTTGAGCTAAGGAAAAAAAAGACTGCCATTGGAAAGTCTAAAACCAAACTTCCATCGTATCGTGGTATCTTTCATACCTGACTGTTGCAACAAAACTCAGTCCTCAAAGTAGAAATAAAAGGAACTCATTGAGTATGCAAACCAAAAGCTAGCATCATACTCAATAGTAAAATATTAAAATTTCCCCCTAAGATTAGAAAGAGTGAATGAATATTTACTTTAAACATTTTCTATTCAATGTTGTGATGGATGTCTAAGCTAGTGAAATCATGCAAGGAAAAAAAAATCATAAAATTGGAAAACAAATAAAGCTTATTTATGTACAAGACAATTATTTGTAAACAATTGGGGTATAGAAAACTCAAGGAATATACAAACTGCCAAACTTCAAATGAAGTTGGATTTGAGATCATTACAGGAAAATTAGTAATAAACACACAGAAATACCAAATAGAATGTAAATTTAATACAACTTATAAAGCTATCAGAAAGCCTCCAGTTTGAGTAATACATCTTACAATAATGTATATAACTTTTAAAACTATTTTAAAACTATGATGTAGATTTTGCACAGATGTTATAAAAGACACAAATACATTGAAAAATATACCATCTTTATCAACTGGAAGGTGGAATTTTAAAGATGTCTACATTTCGGGATCATCTCAATTAAAATCCCACTCTAGAGTTTATAGAATTTGACCAATAGTTCTAAATTTATAGGAAAATGTAAATAATCTAGAGTATCTATAAATATTTTGAACAGGTAAAGTAGTTATAAGTATAGGTAAAGAGATCAATAGAATAGAACAGAGAACACAAATAGATGCACATATTAAGGGCAAATTAATTTGAATTGATTTTGTCAGTTCAAGGTAGAAAGAATTTTTAACAAACAGTGCTGGAACTATTAGCTCCTTGCACAGAAAAAAAATGCCCTCGAAAACTGTTACTATTGTTACCACAGCAGCAAATGAGATCTAGTAGAGTTCAGGGATACTGCTAAATACATAACTACAGGGCAACCCTCCCCTCAAAAAAGAATTATACATTCCAGTCAACAATGTCAAAATTGAGAAACTCTGATATAACTGTTAAAATTGAATCAAGAGAATATCTTCACAATCTTGGGGTAGTTAAAGGTGTTTTGAATAAGTTGTAAGATGCTTAACTACAGGAAATGGCAAATTGAACTTAATTAAAATTAAAATATCCACATGAAAGACTTTAAAAAGTGGAAAAATCACAACTTGGAGAAAATAATTATAGTACAAATACCTGCAAAGGACTTATCTCTAAGAAATAAAAAGGACTGAAAAATCAATCTAGTAAAATAGTGGGTAACAGACAGTTTACAAAAGAAAACATATAGATGTCCAAAACATAATAAGAATATACATAGTTACCAGAAAATGCAAATAAAAAAAATGTAATACTACTATGTCATATTTAAAATAACTAAGATTTAAAATGGCTAAATACATAAATTGTTGGTATGGATGTGGAGCAACTGGAACTTTCAGACATTACTAATGAGAATGTTAAATGGTACAACCAATTAAGAAAATTGATAATTTTTTTTTAAGATTTATTTCATTTATATATACAAGAACCAGGGTACAGGCCAGATGCGTGGTTGGGTGAGAGGATTCACCAGAGACAGAGTGGGGAACAGAACAGGCAGACTGACAAAATACACTGCTGAGGGGAGCAGTGGGTGAGACAGGAGAGGTCTGCTGAACCATGTGGGACCCTTGCCAGCCAGCCAGGATCTAACCAGCGCTTCAGAGGCTGTGGACAGAGTCCCAGGGCTGCACTGAACCGCCTGCACCACCAGGAGAGGCACCAAACCTATAATTTCTAATAAAAGCAAACATATACTAATTGTGTACTCAACAATTTTACTCCTAGTTATTTATTCAAGGGGAAAAAAAAGCCTATGTCCACATTGTACAAGAGTTTCATGAAATCTGTAGTCATAATAGTCAAAAGGTGGAACGACCTCAAATATCCACTTACAGGATAATTGATAAACTGCAATTTATTAATATAAGGACACATTTGCAAGTAATAAAAAGGAACAAGCTTTAGATTCTAGCAATAATGTGGATGACTCTAGAAAACATGTGAAAAATTACGCTAGACAAAGGATGTATACTATGTGATTCAATTTTTGTGAAACTCTAGAATAGGTCAAAATTAATCTATAGAATAGTTGCTTCATAGGTGGGGAGGAAGCAGGAAGAAGAAATTCAGTAAGACCAAAAGTTACATAGGGGCATGAGTCATGGTTAGTTAGCAGTAGATTTTCAACTCTGCAAGAAAGGAGGAAGAGTTTTCTGCATCAATGAATAGATTCTTATCACAGTTCCAATAAGGCCCTGAGAAGCTTTAAGTAATGGTCCCTAGCCAGAAATTTCCTGACTGCTCAGGTGCTGGTTATAATTCTACAAATCCAATCACATTCCAATATTCTCCTTGTCTGGGGTATAATCAGGAAGGAAAGTTAGAACATTACAAAGGATTATAATTTTTAGATCCTCTCTTGCTCTTTACTGAGAAGACAAAGCTCTCTCACGTTCAATTGTGTTCATAATTTGTTTTTATCCTTCTATGCTTTTTTTCATGTCTTGACATTGAATTAAAGTGTTCCATTTTTGCTGATTATTTGTGAACCTGTAAAGAATATTTTGGAAGCATAACAATTTTTTTAAGTCTCACACATCTGCAATTCTACAGAATTGCAGAAATTAATGATAGTAATAGGTTCAGAAAATAAGCTCATAATAGGCTTCCTTAAACATAAATTTATGTTAACTTTCTGAGAGAACTTGATTTAACCACTTCACATCTGTTTCAGTTTTATAAAATATTAATGGGAAATAATTATACCTGCTATATTATTCCCACATTGTTGTGTGGGGTTAATTAGTATACATAAGAAAGTACTTTAAAAACAAGAAGAAATACACAGGAGTGTGGAATAACTCATAATTAGCATGAAAATTATTTATCAGCAATATATTTTTTTATTGACCAAATAAGGAAATGAACTAACATTTAATGGACACATTTTGTATGCTTGTTTTTTTAGGTATCTCACTTATTCTGTACAATATTATGAAGAAACTGAGATTCAGATTGTTGATTAATTTTTCCATAAGCCTTGACATTTATGTTAGTTTTTTGTATATTAATGTTCACTTGAGCTGCCATTATTTCTAGTATGATGTGGGAAATTAACCAAGCAAACTTGCCAAAAGATAAACCCCTACATAGCA